CATATTGTTATCTACAAGATAGTTTCTCAGGAAAACAAATAGACAAATAATAGTGAGTTACAGGCAAAAGAGGTAGGAGATTATCAATAGTTGTTTTACTCTACTTAGGTATCTTCGAAAGAAAATAAATGGAACTATACATGAGTGACCTACTGAAAAATCATTAACTATTCTCAATGGTTGTTGTAGGAAACACATAATAATAAACATGCATCCATTTATGAAGTAGGATAGGAACAATACAAACATTACAGAGTTATGGATAGATTAGTAGGAAAATATTAATGACTGCTGTAACACATGTTGGTATCTTAGAAGTGGTTTCTCAGGAAGACAGAGATACACAAGAAGGATCTAACAAGTAGTTACAGCCTAAGGGTTGTCAAAAATCAAGTGAACCGTCTGGGGCCAAAGCCATTTTTTGTAGCATCTTCTCTCCAGCCTCCCATCACATTGGGACCCCGCAACCAGTTAGTGTCCTCTCCCCAACTGGTTCTCAATGGCAGGAGCAAGAGTGGCCCGTTGTATAGCATGTATTCCCAGGGGTTTTTCCATGTTTGAATGATTCACACACGTCCATGGGTGGGCATCTGCAGCCAGTGCGTGGTGGGCCAATTGTGTCATTGTTTCTCTGTGTCATGATAGTTTTCAATTGAGCAGCAGCGGCCAGCCTGAAGGCCAGCGGGCTACAGCACTCTCGGCCGCATGGCTCCCCATGCACCAGGGGCCCTCCCTCCGGGGGCCTACGAGGCAGGGAGCGAGCTGCCGGGGAAGACCGGCGCTTCCCGCCCATGGCTCCCCATGCGCCAGAGGCCCTTCTTGCCTTTTATCTGTACCCCGCCCTACTCCTTCCAATTCTTGGTCCTTTTCCCATTTGCAAAGCTCTATTTCCATCATTTTTTCTTCATTTTTCCATTCTCTTTCCTTCCCCTTCCTCCCTGCTCTACATCTTTTTTTCTCCCATCCATTTGAGAAAGATCTCCCTACTGCTATTTACCTATCTTCTGTTTACACACACACACACACCTATAATCCCAGCATTTGGGAGGCTGAAGAAGGAGGATCACTGTGAGTTCACAACCAGCCTGGGCTGCATAGTGAGACCCTATCTAAAAAAAAAAAAAAGACAAACCATGCAATCTTTAAATTTGTGTGTTTGACTTACTTCACTTAACATTGTGGTCTCAAGTTACCTCCACTAACCTACAAATGCCTCAAGTTTACCTTTCTTAATCACAGAATAGTACTACAGTGAGTGTAAATACCATATTTTCTTTACCCATTTATCTGTTGATAAGTATATAGGCCATTTCCAAGAATAACTATTATAAATTATGCTACTATAAACATGGGTATACTTGTATCTCTGTGAAATGATGTCTTTAACTCTTTCAGGAAAATACCAAGAAGGGGAATAGATGAGTCAAATGGAATTTCTAGTTTTAGATTTTTAAAGAATCTCTACACTGATTTTCACAGTAGTTGTACCAGTTTACATTCCCACCAACAATTCAGAAAAATTTGTTTTTCCCAACATCTTCACCAGCATTTGTTATCATTTGATTTTTTAATGATAGACATTCTTTCTGAAGTAAGATGGCATTTCAGTGTAGTTTTAATTTGCATTTCTCTATTGGCCAGTGATGTTGAGCATTTCTTCATGTATTTATTTCTCAATTGTACTTCTTCTGAGAGTTATCTATTCACTTTGATTTCCCATTTTTGATTGAGTCTTTTATTTTGGATGGTCTAATTATTTTAGTTCTTTATATATTCTAGATGTTAGTCCTCTGTCTGAGGAATAGCTGGTAAAAACGTTTTCCCTTCCTATAGGTTGTCACTTCACTGTGTTAGTTGTTTTCTGTACTGTTCAGAAACTTTTTAATTTAATGTGATACCATTTGTTCATTCCTTGTGTTAATTTTTGTACCACTGGGGTTCTGTTCATAAAGTCCTTGCCTATACCTATGTCTTCAAAAGTTTTACCTGTTTGTCTTCCACCAAATAAGTGCTTCTGTTTTAATACATAAGCACTTGATTTTAATTTGGTATATGGTGAGATATATGGGTCTAGATTCAATCTTCAGTATGTGGATACTGCATCAAGTTTTTCCTGCACCATTTATTTACCGAGGCTACCTTTCCTCCAATGTATGTTTTTTGCCACTTTGTCAAAGATCAAATAGCTCAATGCATGTGGGGTTGTTTATACTTCCTATATTCTGTCCCATTGATCCATATGCCTGTTTTGTGCCAGTACCATGCAGTTTCAATCACAGTAACTTTGTAGTATAGCTTCAAATTGGGAATTGTGATGTCTCCCACTTTGCTTTTGTTATCCAGGATTGGTTTTTGCAATTTTGGGTCTCTTCTTGTTCCGTAGGAATTTTAGTATTGTTTTCTATAGACCTGTGAGAAATGCTGTTGATATTTTGATTGAGATTATATTAAATCTATATATCAGTTTTGGAAGTACAGCCATTTTGATTATCTTGTTCTGTCTATCCAGGAACAATGAAAGATATCTTTCCATTTTCCGATATCCTTCTCGATTTCCTTTTGCAGAGTGATGCAATTTGTAGAGGTTGTAGAGGTCTTTGTAGAGGTCTTTCACTCCCTTGGTTAGATTAATTCATGTTTAATTGTTCTTGCTGCTGTTGTGAATGGTATTGTTTTCCTAATTTCTTTCTCAGTGACTTTACTCTTAGTGTATAGGGACGCTATTGATATTTGTGTGTTTATTTTGTATCCTGCTGCATTGCTGAATTTGGTTACTAATTCTAAGTGCCTTTTGGTGGAATTTTTGGGTCTTATAGGTGAAAGATCATGTCATTTACAAAAATGTTACTTTGACTACATTGTTTCCCATACATAGCCCTTTTATTTCTTCCTCTTGCCTTGATTGCTGTGGCTAATGTTTCAAGGACAATACAGGAGTGGTGACAGTGGACACCTTGTCTTGTTCCTGGCTTTAGAGGAAAGATTTCAGTTTTTCCCCTATTTTTCTCTGCAGCTGTGCCCCCCAAAACAGCTTCCTCTTATCCAGTCACACTGAATTCCCTGCAATGCTATGTCTACCATACTGTCTATAATTTTAACATATTTGCTTATGCTATTTGCTCAACATAGACTGTACTTCTTCCCCAGCTACCTATTTCTCTTCTTGACTCAACCAAGTACCACCTTGCCCTGGGAAGCTCTCCATGACAAAATTCAAAAGGCTGAATTAGCCATCCCTACCTTTATGTTGCCAAAATCTAGACCCCTCTCATAAGGTATTTCACACTAGATTGTAACCATGGCTCTCTTCCCCACTGGTCTCAATTGCTTCAGATAGTATTCATGTCTTATTTACACTGGTCTTGCAAGGACCTACCTCAAACCTGGCACGTGAATAACTGGCAGGCCGGTATGATGCCAACATTTTACCCCTTCATTCCCTCTATCAAACAAGATTATCTCACACTAATTCCACTCCATTCATAGATGTGGCAACTGTTTTCCTCCCCTAAGGCCCTCCAACAAACTCTCAGGCCTGGCATGCAATGGATTCTCAGTGAATGTCTGTTAAGTATTTGAATGAATCAATGATCAGCACCATTCTTCTCTCATATTAAGCCACACAGTCTTTTCTCAACCTTATCGTCTATAGAATCCTGATATCTCTGAATTCTCACAAACTAACAAAATATCAACACTTACTAGGCATTCAATAAATGTACAATAAATGCTTTATAAATGAATGAACAAAAGAATTGATGCTTTCATGCATGTTTTCATGTTTCTTGAAAAGCATGCACACCCCCTTTAACATTTTACCCTAACATCACCTCTGTTTACCAAGCTGCTAAGGAACTGGTTTGTTACTCAGAAATGGAATCTTGACACATCCATGATAGCTGAAATTTCTTTTTAAATTTTATCTGTGACTGGTGCTATTTCTAAATTGTAGACTTATGTTTTAAAATTTTAGGCTCCTGTAGGAGTAGAGCTTTGGGGTAGCTTTGATCTATGATTTAATGGGTATAAAGCTGTTCTCTGAAAGGAAGATCCACCTTGTTTCTAAATGTGAGTGCTTGGTAAATGCAAGTTTCAAGTATGGAACCTACTTAAGACTTTGTGCTATAGCTAAGTAAAAGTGTTTGCTACTCCACCTAGCCCACAGCAAGTGCTCAGTGAATATCTTCCTCGTTATTTATGCATTCCCACCCAGACCCAAACACATGACAGAAGATCCAGTGTCTCTGGAATTTTAGAGAAATACACCATTTTAATTGATGACAGTGATACTCTCCTTAGCCACCATTTTGTTACAGCCTGTCTGCCAGAGACTAACAGGATGTACTTCATTTTTGATCAGGCATAAGCCAAGTAGAAACTTCAGATTGGGAAGGATTTTGCTTTTCCCAAGCCCTTACTTAGGTCAGTAGTTTTTGTTTGGTTGGTTAGTTGACTGGTTGAGATTATTGTTTTGTTTGGGTTGGGTTTCGGTTTGGGAGGTATTTTTCCAGTGCCAGAGATAAAACTCAGGCCCTTGTACAAGCTAGGCCAGTGCTCTACCATCATGCTTGACATCGTATCCTTTTGTTTAGTGATTGCACACATTTACCAGTAAAATGTTTCGGATCAGACATCCCCAATACAAATATAATTATTCATTTATAAATTGTATACATGCATTACCATAATATTGTAACTAGTTATTGTAAAATCCATCAAAATGGAAACTTAAAAGGTGTCATAAAAATTAATAGAAATAGAAATTCTTGTGTGTGCTTCTTCCATACCAGTGGACTGTCTCATAACTAGCCAGCTGGCTAAGCTAGAAACAGCTTGTTTCTAGATGACGTGGTGGGAATAGGATTCTCTGAAGTCAGATCACTAAGTACACGTGGTCCAGTCTCACCCATTGGCACTCTCCTTTCAGTAAATTTTACCAAAAGCAACTGGCTTTACTTTTAAGAAAAAAGTGGTAACTCAGTGATTGAGTGATACTTAAAGGCTTTATTTCCAATGGAACCAGCTTTTCATGGTTGTGCTAAATGCTCTATTTCATTCTGGATGAAAAGAGCTAGACTGCTGATTATACTGTAGGATAAGGAAAAAGCAATAAAGCTGCAGTATACCCTTGAAGCGCATCAAAATGGTCTGGTAAGGAAAAGGAGGGCTTTAACTTGCAAGGCTACAAACACTGAGCAACTTGAATCTCCATCCCTCGAAATCAGGAGTCATCATAATGCACTTCACAAAATATTTAAAATTTGTGATAATAACAAGTGCTGCAGTGGCATTCCGTGTGGTTCTCCACTCTGGTATTTCCCGTAACTGTGACCTAAGAGGGAAGGGGGAAAAGAGAGAACGACAAAATTGGGAAATGTTAAGCAAAATTATAGCCATCTGAACTAAATAGATGATTGCTACATTTGCATACTCTTTCTTTCTCAGTGATGTTTTTGCTAAAAGTGTAGATGCACATTTTCCTAACCTGCCCTTCATTCTGAATAATTGCAGCCTGTCCTCCCAAGGTGACTGGCTCTCTTCATTCTTTCTTCTTTTCTTTTTCAAAATGGTGTTGGGAGTTAAACCCAGACTGTTATGCATGCTAGCAAAGTGCTCCACCACTGAACCAAATCCCCAACCCCTAAAACCTCACCAATTGATTTTCTGTACTTATTTTGTGGTGCTGGGGATCAAACCAGGGTGAGGCAAGTGCTCTGTCACTCATCACATCCCAACTGTCCCCCAAAGCTTTTTTGAGACTTCATTCTTTATTGACATATAATAGTTGTACATATTTACAGGGCAAAGTGTGATAATTGGATACATATATGCAATGTATAATAATCAAATTAGAGTACTAACACTTTGATCTTCTTTAACATTTATTTTTTGTGTTTGGAGACTTTGGACTCACCTTTTCTAGTTCTCTATAAAGTATAAAATAAATTGCAGTGAAATATTGTCACCACACTGTGCTCTGAAACACTAAAATTTCCTCCTTTTATGTAGCTGTATTTGGTCTCAATACCCAGCCTCCCTCTATTCACCCTCCCCCTGACCTTTTCTAGCTTCTAGCCACCACTACTCTGTTCTATTATTTTATAAAATTGGTTTGCTTACCTTAGCCAATTATTTTAATTAAAGGCCACAAATGCAGCCCCTACCCATATAAATGCCCAGCAGAACATATGTCATCAGACAAATTTGGCCTTGAAGACCATGAATGTGCCCCGTGAGCCTTTCTCCATTGGGCTGCTAGAAAGCTTCTGACACCCGTCTTGTTTTTACCTTGGTAAATGCTTTGGCCACACAGCAAGTGGCCTCCGAAGTGATGTTCTTTGGAACCAGCATTGTCTTCTTGGACCTTGCTGGAGTGGGGTATGCCTGGGAGAAGCAGCAGCCCATGCACTGATAAACGGGGGCACCCACCATGGAGAAGTACATATTTTCCTTTAGTTTGCATTCTGGGCAACCTATCAGATCAAAAAGACAAGGAGTAAAAACTCAAAAGTGATTCAAAGAGAAGCTATGAGTATTTTCTTATTATGAGATGGTAAATATTTTTCCATTTAAAATGAAGAAGAGCTCAATCTTTTTGGCTATATGTTACTATTCACATAGAATATCTACTTATACAGTTACCTTCCGGGGAAAACAATCCTGGCAGACTTGCATGGGAATCTTAGTTACAATAATTTCTCTCCCTTGGAGCGTGGATCCTCTACCCCAGTGCTAACAGTATGCTTCGAAAGAACACAAAACCTGACAGATGAAAATGGTGTGTTTACCTGAAAGAATTTTGCTATTATTTTTTTCCCCAGAGAAACTTCAAATATTGACAGAGAAAAATATGTCAGAATTAAGAAAGCCTTATCAATGTACAGAGCCTGATATTGGCTCAGACATCTGCGCTTGGGACATAGGATTAAAATATTACCATTTCTCTAAAGAAAAACTAAAACCAATAGTAGCTCACAGTTTCAAAGGTAATGGAATTATATTAGCCATTATATGAGATTTTTCAAAGAATGCAGCAAAACAAATTTACTGCATAAAAATGATTTGGGGTTTTTTTCTCATGCATTAACTGATGTGAAAATATATCTACAAAGGCAATGATAAAATCTCAAGACTTCTGGGAGAAGTGGGGGTGCGGAACTGAGCTAACAAAATAAAGATTTTATTCTTATGAAATTCAGATAAAGAATAATCAGGAATCCATTTCAGATGAAAATGTGAAGGCTGCTACTTAAATGGATATTTAAAATACTATTTTCACTGGTTCATTTTATGAACCTAATTTAATTTCGTGTTCACAATCTACAAGTGCCTAGATATGTATCCAGCACTGAAGACTTACCACATTAGAAAAGGAGACAGAAATGTAATTAATGGAATTCTTGATGTATATTTAGCAATGAGATTGCAATATCACTTGAAACCCAAGTTTGGTCACATACCCTGCATTGTAAGCTCTCTCTCCGGAAAAGAATGGAGAACTTGCAAACACACACACAAGGTGGCCAGAATGGCAACTGCGTATTTTCTGCAGTAATCCATGGCACTCCTGCAAAAGACATGGCAAAAAATAAAACAGCAATGATCACCTAATCTTGTCTCACCTATTATAACAGCAACCCGTACTTTCAACATTACTGCCAATAGTAATTAATGTTTGACCCCTCTGCTTTTAGCTCCCCACACATTCTAAGTCCATGTAAATGGAAAACAACTTCTCTGTGAGAAAGAAGTAAAGAACCGAATCTTCCCACATACACAAAGAGAATTGGTCTTGATAATAACTATAATTATCTTTTTAAATGTGCCATCCCATTAAGTGTCCTTGTTTGTAAAAACACAGACCTTAAATAATATTTAAGAATGTTGAAGGATATATATGTGTATGTCCTTCCCACTCATACATTGCCAAGGTGGAGAAGAGAAAGAAAGAACTACATCCCTCCTGCCTTTTGTTCACTGGTGCCAGGTGGTCTCTAAGTCTCACTATCAGTGAGTAAGCGCTACCCAGCAACGTGCCAAGGGCAGACAGCGTAGAGTGTCGCTCAACATTTTCTATTTAGGTTTTCCATCTAGTACACAGAGCACGCCTTTGTTTAGACCTCTAGTTAGAGCTTTACCTAAAGGTTGTGAGTACGTGAGATCAAGCTATGCAAGGTCTGCTCAGCTGTGTGATTGATCATATCCCAAGCATTCAACTCATTGCATCTAACAATGGGATGAAAGGAAATTTGGATGTTAGCCCTACATGTCCCAAATAAAAATCTTATGTAAGATCAATGGGCAATTTTGGCCCCTATTTTTAAGTGAAGCTATTATGGGTTATTCATGTTTAAAACAGGAGAGATAAGAAATACAGAGTCATTTACCTATTAAAAGGACAGCTCAGAACACTTAAAGATTAATACCAATTTTATAGCAACTCCTAGAAAATGGAAGCATTTAATTAATATCAATTTTATAGCAACTCCTAGAAAATGGAAGCAGGAACTGTTTTCCCAACTCTTTCTATGAAGCCAGGATTACCAACACCAAAACCAGACAAAAATAGAACAAACAAAATAACAGATCAATGCCGCTCAAGAAATTCGATGCAAATATGCCAAACAAAAAAGCTAATTGAAATTAGCAATGTATGAGACGAATTAGACAAACATGACTAACTAGGGATAAGTTACAGTACGTAAGGCTGACTCAATATCTGAAAATGTAATCTACCATCTCAACAAGATAAAAAGAAAAAAAAATGTCAATTTGACCCAGAAAAAAACATGTGATGACATTTAATACTCTTTTGTGATTAAAAAAAAAAAAAAAAACAACTCTAGAAATAAGAATCAAGGAGGTTTTCTCAACCTGATAACAAAACTTACAGCTAAGAGCATACTTAAACTACTGGTGAAAAAAACCTGAATGCTGTCCCCAAGCGTGACAACAGAGTAAGAGTATCCCCTCTCATCTCTCATTCAATATTCAACATTATGGTATGGGAAATTCAAGACAGCACCATACAGCAAGAATAAGAAATTTAAGGCACACAGATAAGAAAGGAAGAAGTAAAACTATTCCAATGTATAGATGACACACTCATCTTTTTGTGGAAAAAAAAAAAAGACAAAATTCCAAGAAACTTACCAAAAGCTGTTCTTGGAACTAGTTAGTGAGTTCAACATAATTATATGACATAAGTTCAACACATAAAACTCAATTGCATTTCTATGTACTAAAAACAATATTGTGGAAATAAATCAGAAACACAATACTCTTTACAACTCATCCAAAGAAAATAAAATACTTAGAAATCTTAACAGAATATGTCAGGACTTGTATGCTGAAAATTATAAAATGCCCAAGAAATAAAGAAGACCTAAATATGTAAATGGAGAAACAGCATATTCATGGGTTGAAAGACTTAACTTAGTAAAAACAGCAATGCTTTCTAAATTAACCCACATATTAAACAAAATGCCCATCAAAATCCAGCAATTTCTACAGACATTAATATTATATGATAATAAATAACATTGAAATGACGTAGAAAAGCTAAAACAATTTTTAGAACAAAATGAAAGAAGTCATTATTTTCAGTATGGAGACTTATGGGAGCTGGAAGTACGGCTCAGTGGTAGAGCACTTGCCGAGCATACACAAAGTCCTGGACTCAGTCCCCAGGATGTGGTGGGGCAGAGGCGACTTATTATATAGTTTCAATGATCAAAACAGTATGATTGTGACACCGCGATAGATTCATAGAGTAACAGAATAGAATAGAGAACTCATAAATGGACCACACACACACACACACACACACACACACACACACACACACATCAGTTGGTTTTTGACAAAGATACAAAGCAACTTTTCACAGCTGCTGCCAGAGCAATTAGATATTTGTGAGCAAAAGAAGAAATTAGAAAAAAAAAAACCTAAACCCGGGGGCTGGGGATGTAGCTCAGTAGCACAGTGCCTGTCTGGTAAGTGCAAGGTCCTGAGTTTGATTCCCAGTACCAGAATAATAATAATAATAATAATAATAATATAATTTTTAAAAACCAAACCTTACATCTTATATGAAAACTAGCTCCAAAGAGAAGATGAACTTCAATGTAAAATGTAAAGCAATAGCCAAGCACAGTGGCAAAAATCTGTAATGCCAGCTACTTGGGAGGCAGAGACAAGAAGATCACAAGTTTAAGGCCAGCCTTGGCAAATTAGCAAGACCCTATCCCAAAATAAAATTGAAAATGTACTGGGGATGTAGCTCAGTGGTACACCACCTGTCTAGCATGAACAAGGCTCTGGATTCAATCCCTAGTACCACAAAAAAAAAAAAAAAAAGAATATAAAACTATAAAAATTTTAGAAAAAAAATAGGAAAAAATTTCCAGGACCTAGGGCTAGGTGAAGTTTTTAGACATAACACCAAAAGCACCAACCATAAGTGTTATAGTTTGTGTCTGGCTGTCCCCCTAAAGCCTGATGTAGTCACAGAGGGTGGGCTTTTTGGAAGCAGTTGAATCTAGAGCTTGTGATTGGTTCACTGTCTAGCACTGGGATTGGGGGTTTGAGTCCTATACCTACCCTAAGGTGGGTAGTCTGCATACAGTATAAGGAGGGGAAAGAGGCTTGCTTCCTCCTTGTTGCCCTTGTTGCTTTTGCTGTCTTCTGCTGCCATGAACTATTGCCCCTCTGCCATACCACCCTGCCTTGGAGCCAGCTGACCATGGACTGAAACATCTACAAACTGTGAGCTAAATAAACCTTTCTTTCCTTAATTTTGGGCATCAGGTATTTTGTCTCAGCATTGGGAAAAGTAACTAAGACAATAAGGGAAAAACTGACAAATTACACTTTACCTAAATTTGGGTTAAACCTCTGTTAAAAGAATGAAAATATAAAGACATGAAAAAACATTTACAAGCCCCATATTCAACAAAAGATTGGAATCTAGACTATGAAGGACCTCTTGAAAACAAAACACACAAAAAAATTTAATTATAAAATAGACATTGTGCTAAAAGAGGATTGATAGATGTAAAGTAAACCCATAAAAAGTACTCAACACCCTCAGCCATTAAGAAAATGCAAACTAGATCTGTAATTACCAAAATGGCTAATATTTAAAGCAACAACCGAATGTTGACATGGATACAAAAAAAAAAAAACAAAGTAACTTACACACTGTTGGGATTGTAAAATGATGCAGCCACTCTGAAAAATAATTGGGCAGCTTCTTATAAAACAAAATGTGCTCTTATGACTCAGCATTTGTTTCAGAGAAATGAAAACTATGTTCACACAAAACTTGTATATGAATATTCATAGAAACTTTATTTATACTAGCCTAAACCTAGAAACAATATAAATTCCCTTGAACAAGTGAATGGTTATACAAATAATGGTCCATCCATACTGTGAAATACTAGGCAGTATCAAAAAAAGAACACAGTATTAATACAGCAACTTGCATGGAGCTCAAGGGAATTGTGCTGAGGGAAAGTTGCACATTATATGAATGTACTTATATTTTAGTTGTACTGTGATAGCTGCCTCAGTGCCCTGAATCACTTCAAATTGTTTACCTTTTGTGGTCATTTTGACCCTTGGGGAAGAATCAGAAGTCACATAGTGCAGGTCATCTGAATAAAATACATGACAACAGACCTTAGCATTTTTAAAAGCATGGCACTGGATGGCACTGGAAGGCAATGTTCACTGTATTTTTCATCATACTTCATCAAAACCCTCTCAAAAGAGGACTTCCAGAACTGCTTCAGAAAAAATTTTTAGAGGCTCCATGACATGTGATACAGCAATAGACTGAATAAGGAAGTACATGAGACTTAGCTGTGCTCTACTAGAGAGTAGCAGAAGCGTTAAAGAGATTTGCAAAAAGGTAAAACAATGCCACCTTTCTCAAGAATGATGGACTAATTGTGCTCTATGCAAGGTGGGTATTTTGAGGGTGATTAATGACAATGTATCTTTTACTGTAATATATTTTAAAAATTTTAAATGCACAAAATCCTTTTTGATTACCCCTTTTTTCCCAAAATGGCTAAAAATTCACATTCCTCCTGCTTCAGCCTCCTAGGTATCTGGAATTACAGGCTCACCAACATGCCTGACTACAGTTCTACATCTTGATTGTGACATTAATCACACTGGTTACATGGAATAAAATCACATAGAATTATACATTCAATGCTAGTGAAAGTTGAACAACCTTTGTGAGTTATGACAATATCAGATTCCTGGTTTTCATCCTGTACTATAGTTATGCAAGATAATTATCATCAGGAAAAATTGCCTGAAGGCCACATGGGACTTCCCTGTACATTTTTTACAATTTCCTCTAAATCTATAATTATTCAAGATAAAAAATTTTAAAAAGACTATTCAAAATGAATTTTAAAATTGAATGAATGAAATGTGAATCAAAACTTGCAGCTATTTTCATGTAAACTGACATACTAATACCACATTTTTGCTAGATGTTTATACCAACGTGTAACACTTAAGAATAATTTTTCAGACAGAACTAAC